ATTCCCAGGTGTATAGTAGAGCTGACAAGGGGCAAGGTTGTAGTCACTTCTTGGTCACAGCCAGCTACCCAGAGGGACCAAGTAGTTGAACCTGTGGGCTCAGGACCATAGTCACAGGGAACACCAAGCTCAATTGGCATAACATACTACACAAAACATTGTTCTACCTCCTACTTTGGCGAGTAGCAATGGGGATCTTAAAAGCTTGCAAGCAGCCATCTAGACGCAGCAATGGGTCTCTCTTCATCCAGAGCAAAGAATGAAGAAAACCAAACATTCATGGAAAAAATTAGTTCTAGCAATGGTTACACCATGCGATCCACAGCCTATACGACTATGAGACCGAAAGAACTAGATGGTGCCCAGCTACCACTGTCAACCACTTGGAAGGGGATCTATGTAGGAGATCCTTGACAGAAAGGGAGAACAAATGTGGAACAAAACTCAAAATCATTTGGGAAAAAAAAAGGGGGGGGACCAGGTTTGCTGGCCCGATAGAGCCTGGTGGAACCACTGAGACTTTGGCCCCTAGCTGCCCTTCAGGTCTGGAATTGAACCTACATCTGCGGCTTCCAGCCAAACAAAAGACAGGCATAGGAGTTGAACCTTTACCTGAGGTAGATACACTCCTTGGAGAGAACAATTATGGGAGAAAGAAGGGCTCTTCATGCACAGGGAGACAGCTTAGGGGGGCAGGGGTGCATGGAGGGATAGACAAAGGGAAGAGGCGACTGTTGGGAAGAAGTGGGAGGGGAGCTGTTGCATAGTGGTGAATTGTGTAGTCAATGTCATGAGACAAAGTGTATGTGAACTGCTGTATGGAAAGTGAATTTGCTCTGTAAATTTTCACCCAAAGTACAAATAAATAAATAGATAATCTAGGGCTCTATGCACACAAGATTGGGTGTAGAATAGGCCACAGCTTAGAGAGCACACTGATGCCTGGACAGTGAAGTCCCTTCCTGAGGCCTCAGGGATGGAGGTGGAGGAGAACAGTGCTTGCCCTCTTATTATTAGCTGCTCTCAGCCCCCAAGGCATGGCAACCCCATGCACGATATAACTGGTGTTGGGCCTATAATCTGCTACTGTTCAACTGGGGAATGTGGAGCCCCACACTTCTCACCACCTTGGTCCTACCAGAAAGCAAGCTTTGGGTTTCTGAACCAGCATGCTTCTGACACCCAGGCTTTAACCTCTCTTCCTCTAGGCAGCTCAGAGCTCTAGTTCAGTGGGTCCTGTGTGCTGGGGACAGCAGGTACTGGCTCCTGAGAAATCATTCTATGCACATCTTCCTACCTCAGAGTCAGGGCATTATGTTAATAGCTTGAAATGCACCATGGCAGGAGCATTTAACCACAAGAGTTGGCAACACTGTAAACTAAGGCTTATTTTCCCAAAAAGTCACTTGTTAAACATTTCACAGCACACCACTTGCTTCACTATCAGATTGACCTTTGCTTGACAGGTAAATCTGATGCGTTAACTGGCATCAGAACCCTATTCTAACCAGGTCTTGGATGAATAAGTAATGTGCAGGGTGGGAGCCTGGAGAGGTGGGGAAGAATGAGCTAGGAGGATGGTGTTCTGGTTCCCTAGTGCCACTCTGACAAGAATATACCACA